AACTTCAGCTTGAAAGTAAATATAGCATCTGGACGATATGAAAAATGGGATAAATTGAAAAGGGTATTTTGACGAAAATTCGCTCCCTGATTGAATAAACAACTCGCAATGTCCGACCAATGATCTGCACATTCGAGCCCTTTTTTTCTGGTTTCCGTATCCTTGCCTGCCCAGATCCTACAAATCTGGTCTCGACAACATCCGACAACCCGTAGAGGCTGGTTTATGTGGAAACGAGACCATATTTTCCAGCTAAAGTGACTTTCAGTCCACCCTTTACAGGATGTTGGTGAGCAAGTTGTGAATCGTCGCTTCTTCCCCCTGACCAGCCGCCCGATGCAGCCATGGCTTCGGATGGGAGTGGAATGCCGAGCTATCGCGTCGGCGTTCAACAATGAGTCCCAACGACCAGGGCTACCAACCGGCGCTTTTCTGTCACTTCGAATTACACTTGATGAGCGTGAGTGACCCCTTCAGTTGGGGCCTAATGGAATAGGGCCGAGGGCCGAACAGAATGATTGGCCCGTCCGGGACAGATCGTCCGGTCGGATGAGCAGTTGGGCCGTTGGGCTGCTGGGACTTTAGCCAGAAATGGGAGAGTGGCTCAACTGTCGGCCAGCCCGACGAATGGGTGGGACGAAAGATAGACTGGCCGAGATAGGCAGAAGGGTCGGTCGAATGACGTTTGAGGGACCTGTTTCTTCCGCCGTAAGTGCTGGTGATGAGTCTGCTCTCTTCTACTCTTTCTCAATCCGTCAGGTTGCCTGAGATTGCAGATTGCTGGAGCCGGACTCGAAGTGGGACTCGAAGTCGGAGCCGAAGTCGGACTCGAGGTCGGAGCCGTAGTCGGAGCCGAAGTTGGATTCAAAGTCAGAGTCGGAGTTGCAGGTGCATCTGTAGCACTGCCGGTTGCGATGGTAACTAGCCACGGGGAGGGGTAGAGTTGTCGAATAAAGCCGGAATGACGGACTCGGACAAGCGCGGGAGGATCTGACATTCGATCTTTGCTGCCTGGCAAGTCTATATCCGGCCAGTTGACTTCAAGGACTGCCAGGCAGACTTGCTGCCCCCATTCGTGTCTCCGTCTACGCTTTTGCTCATTCACCGGCCGAAATCACGGCACACCGACCACAATCGGCCGTCCAACTCGGCACGCAAAAGACACACTCAACTCTGGCCAGCCTTTGTGTGGATTGTCATACATGTGCATGCGAGTGTGCATGTTCGTGTGCATTGCATACGAGCAAATGGGACGAAAATTAAAAGCATTCAGAGGTGAAATGAAGCCGACTTCGAACTTGTGGAGCCAGGCTGGGCAGATGAGTCGCAGCCCCCTGGTCGGCATTAAAATTGGGCTAATCACCAACACAATCATCCTTCCCAACCGCCCCACCTTCAACCACGCCATCATCATTGCCGATAGCAGAAGTAGCGTTGCATCACCCTGCCTCTACTGTTCATTGTGAACGGCTCTTTTTGCGAGACAAGTAGACCAATTATTTCTGAACCCGTCACTATTCGTGGGATAAAACAGAGGCAGAACAAGAAGGTTGAGCAAAGGGGAGAATGGCCGGCCCAAAGGAATAGAGTTTCGTAGGCTAAATACATGTATGAGTTTACATGTCTATATGTCTATCTGTATGTATGTATGTATGTATGTATGTATGTATGTATGTATGTATGTATGTATGTATGTATGTATGTATGATATTTATGTATGTATGTATGTATGTATGTATGTATGTATGTATGTATGTATGTATGTATGTATGTATGTATATATATATGTCTATCTGTATGTATGTATGTATGTATGTATGTATGTATGTATGTATGTATGTATGTATGTATGTATGTATGTATGATATTTATGTATGTATGTATGTATGTATGTATGTATGTATGTATGTATGTATGTATGTATGTATGTATGTATATATGAAGGAATGAATGTAACTATGCTTGTATGATGGTAAATGAGCCTGTATGTGGCTAGAGTGCTGGGGATTAAGAGGCAGAAGTAGGAACCTAATTGAGGTGTCTGATTATAGTAAAGTAGCATGCAAATTATGCGAATGCATACATGAGATGGATGGCTAGACAGTAGAAGTATATGAAAGAGGAGAGAAAGGGCTCTTTTGATGTCGGGTTAACTGGATAGACTCAGCCTTGACGTGTAGATCGT